TTTATTTATTTATTTATTTATTTATTTATTTATCTTTCACAAAGATGATATTGATAACTTCAGTTGAATAAATCGATATGATTAAAATAATTATATCTTGAAGTATTTATAATTACCTAATTAGTAAAAAAGATAAATAAGATCAAAAAATTAATTTGTCAGAATAATTATATTACGTAATTGATAATTAAAAAAAATACCTAATAGATCTTAATCTATTATATCAATAAAAATAATTACATAAATCAAGATAAAAAATATTATTTATTTATTATTATCTTATATATATTTGAATCTATTTTATAAATATCTTACTCTTCAAAATTGTTGGTCAATCAAAAAGTTCAGAATCCGACTTCATAAATTTATCGATATTAGATCACATAAAAATAAGTCATTTTTTGAATTTCATTACAAAACATCCAAAAAGTTGGTTCTACTTATACCTTCTTAATTCATTAATCTGAATAAATACTAAGAGAAACGGCTAAACGACCATTGTGGGGCAGTTTTACAAATTTATTATCAAAATAAAAACTTTTTTCTTGGTATATAAGACCAGGTCTCCAAAATGCCGACCTCACAATGTATGAAGAAATTAAAACCAAGTTAAAAACTTCTTTCTTGGTATACAACACCAGGTCCCCAAAATGCTGACATCATGATTAATGAAGAAATAAAACTGAGTTAAAAACTTTTTTCTTGGTATATAAGACCAGGTCTCCAAAATGCCGACCTCATGATTAATGAAGAAATAAAACCAAGTTAAAAACTTTTTTCTTGGTATATAACACCAGGTCTCCAAAATGCCGACCTGACGATGTATGAAGAAATTAAAAACCAAGTTAAAAACTTTTTTCTTAGTATATAATATCGACCAGGTCTCCAAGTTTGCCAAATTCCGAGTTGAATAGCTCCAGATATGGTTTGTACAAGAAACTGTGTTAAAACAGGAAATTCTTACGGAAAATTAGTAAAATTTATAACTAATTCCTAAATGATTCACTAATGCAAATCTAAACTAAAACATGAATATAGGATACTAAAAAGAATCAAATAAGGTAAAAACACATAAAGAAATATATACTAAAATATGACTATCACACGTCCAAATTGAGGAGATAGTGGAATGTCATAGTGATGTATAGGATCATCATACAACCTGTTGCAAATGGGTATGTTTAATAGCAATTTGATTTTTAATGTTTATGCCTTCAATGGTTTTATTCATGGACTTAATGCTTAACATTACATTTGAATATTTTATAGATGGATCCCTAATAGTCACCCTATTGCGGCAGTTGGTCATGCAATTAAGTCACAATTTAGGGGTCCTTATCATTGTTATGATGTTATTACCGAGGATGTGCAAGTCAAATGGTGGATAGAGTTCACGATGACTATATGTTATTTTGTATGTATTTAAATATTTATTAATATATTTTGATGAAATTGATACTTATTTTCTTTATTTGTTTTAGGCAATAATTACTTGGGCACCACATCACGAATCCAATATTAGAAAGGTGTATGCAAAGAAAGTCGAAAAACACCTTCGTGATATGCTTACCGAAGCAAGGGGTAAAGGGGCTAGGCCACATTGGATAGGAGAACAGGCTTGGGATGATCTTCTTAAGTGTTGGGTCAACAACAAATTCAAAGAAAAATATACCCAAAATAAAAATAACCAGGCTTCTACTAGAGGTGGAGCATTGCACACAATGGGACGTAAGTCTCAAGTTGAGGGGGTGTTAGGGCTAGTAAGTAGGGTTGAGCATTATTGATTAGGAAAAATATCACGAGCAGTTGAGAGTGATTTAGTCATAGGGTGCTGAGGGGTCCAACAGTCAATTACCTGTAAATGGGGTGAAAAAGATTCACTGTTGGAAGGAAGTAGCAAGAGACATGAGTAGGGGCCGATGTCATGGCACAGGAGATCTAGCTTCTAACATAGGTCATGGTGTGTCCTCCTTACAAAGGTCTCTTTATTTGTTCAGGCTACCAGTCATACACATCACCATTTTACTGAGACAGAGGCATTACGCCAAGAGATTCAACATGCAACTGAGCATGATGATGCAACAACTACATGAGCAGATGCAGCGACTGCACGAGTTGATGTTGTAATTATTTTCCTTATTATTATTTTTTTTTTTACCTAGTGTCGTTATGGGCTACATGATTTTTTTAAGCCCATCAGGTGTGGTGGGTTAGCCTATAGCGACACTGTTTCAGCCCAACCAAGCCAAAAATAAAAAAATGCCACGTGTCATGGATGTCGTTATGGCCCATAGCGACACCCAATAAAATAGCCCCAAAGATGTAAAATGTTTCAAAACAGCCCCATTTTAATAATAAATTTGTAAAACTGCCCCACAATGGTCATGGTCGTTTAGCCAAGAGAAACAGTACTGTATAACTTTTTCATGCTCCTGTGAGCGAATAGATGTTACCACATTAGTCTTAATTATGTACAGTTGAAATAAGTTGATCCTGTTATAATTATACACATAGTCCAAATTAAAAAAAAAAAAAAATCAAAGTCAAGCTTCGGTCAGATATTGTGTCATTTTGTTCATGTACGGACACGAGGAACTAACAAAACCATTCACCAAGTGGAGATACGTCTTGAGATCATGGCACGTGGCAACATCTCCTTTCATGAGATAGGATGATTCTCTGCTACTCAGTCTCAACTCTTGTCCAACGTCAGCGTACACCAACTGCATGTCGTCGACCATTCTATGGAACAAACTCTGCAACCTGGTCACGTGGACACTCTTATTGCATGCCATGTCATCATCTCGGACTACGAGACCAGGCACTTTTGTGATTACATCATCAGAGTTCACGATTCGCAGGATCCTGGTTCCACTTTTCTCCAACTGGCTCCGAAACTTATGGTTACCCACGCGGGGCCCACCAAAGGAGACCACCGTAACCATGGGCGCGTTTTTAAACGTGGTAGTTATATCGTACGCGCTTAGAATTGCGAGTGCAGCTCCTAGACTGTGACCGGTTATAGTTATGCTGAGTGGCTCATCACCGTAGGATTGAATCACTCTGGCAACCTCGTGGCGAATCATGTCCTGTAAACTGGGACATGTGCCAGATTTGGACATGTAGAGGCTCAAAAATCCCCTCTCCACCATACAACAACCTTCGCATGTGGTATCTTCTTCATTCGGCCATTTAGTCAAGGTAGCACGAAGGTTTTCCAACCACTCAAGACACGTGGCAGTTCCCCTGAGCGCAATCACCACATCACGTCTTCCGAGACGAGCAATTTCCTCCTTGTCTTGAGACACAGCCACGTATCCGATCCAGCTAGATCGTACACATGGCAACTGGGACAACGTGGAAATCCAGTTTGGTAGCTGTACCCCGCATGTGGCACGTAAATTTTTCGTTATTCTGTAACCAGATTTTCTCATTCCAGTTTTCGTTAGGAGTGAGGTTTTGGGATAGCGACACATGGCATATGTAGGAGAAGAGGTGTCAAAGTCAAAAGAGTTATATGCGGCTTCTACGAAATTACCGTATCTTAGGATTTCCCTTCGTAGGTTGTCGTCGAGAGGATCTAACAAGCCTTCCCAGTGGTTGATTCCTTGGTATTGTGTCCACTTGTGGCCGAGTTTGGGCGAGTTGCATTGCACTGAGTCATTTTTGAGGCGATCCCAGGCGAGTTGGGACTTGTTGAAGGGTAAGGTAGGAGTTGTGGCATGGGAGAAAGTTGGGTTAACGTTGTTGGGTTTGGAGATGGAAGGAGAAATGTGTGGTTGGGTGGTTGGTCTTATAGAGATTGTCATTGTTTTAGAGACACTACACTTGTGTGATTGGGATATATTACTATGTTCACTTGTGTGTGTTCTCACAAGTGATGTTTGGGTGTTTGCGTGGCACTTTATATGGAGAGTAAGGGAGGGAAATGGACGGTGGTAAAAGAGAGAGAGGGAGAGTCTGTGATTAGGTCATGATTTTTCAATACCTAAATAATTGTTTTTTAATTAGTGCAAATCCAATTTAATATTTAGATTATAATACTCACATCTTCAACTAATTCAATTAATCTTCTTTCATCATGAACACTTAAATAAATAAAATACGCAACTGATGCTATATATTAATTTAATTTGTGTCTTTCTTCTTGTCACTTGTGTTATTAACCACTTATCTTTTTCATTTTCTATTTCTTTTAAAGAGTAAAAAAGTATTTTTTTTATTAACTGATTTGGATTACTGAAAATGGCTGCGGCATATGGGTGAGTGAAGTGAATGATGAGAATGAAGAAAAGTAGGAGGCTGAACATGAAAATTCAGAAGATTTTTGACGTAGTTGGTGGGACCTAATTACCTAAAACGACTAAAGTTTAATTTTGTTGTACAAAAACTAAAAAAGGAGGTACATGTGTGTCACTGTTGCTACTCGGACACGGCTTTTTTTCTTCTTCTAAACAGAGTAAAGATAAACGTGGACCCGTTTTGAAGTGAGTTGAGAGTGAAAAAAGAAAGATATACATTAAAGACAAAAAGTTAGTGAAAGAAAATGTAGATGTAAAGAGTAACGTGATGAAAAAAAATAAGAAAAAAATTATGCATATTTAATATTTTTTGATAATAAAAGAGAGATCGAACGAAAAATTCTCCCACTCTATTCGTGCTTGTAGTAGAGAAAATTGGGTAATATGAAGAAAAGAAAATTTGAAAAGTATATAATTAACCTTTTGGCAAAGGGGCTATCTAACCGCGTAAGGACTAAGGACTAAGGACTAAGGAGAATGTCATGAGAGGAAGAGTAGTCGATTGGTCAAACGTCAAAGTAAAATTAATCCCAACCACGTTTAATTTTTTTATATAAAAAAATAGGAATTAAGATCAATGATTTAAAAGTTATTTGTTGAAATTTGATAAATAAAATTAATGGAAATTAAAACCTAACCTATGCATGAACTAACTTTATAAAATTTTAACCGGAAACCTTATAGTTTCATGTGATATATCTGTACTGATACCTAAGATTTGGTCTTATATCGACCATTTTCACGAATTGAAAAATTAATTTCTGGCATGCAACAAATTGATAAAATCTCCTTCAAAATAATATATATATATATATATATATA